TTTCAGGTCGAAATTCGAGAATATGATTTTGCTGTAGAACTAGGGTCCAGCAAGAAAAATCCACTAAAAATTCGATATCTCTGTCAAATCTCAATATGGGTACGAATTCTTTGGAGGTTTCTCTAATCTAGTGGTCCCCAACCTAATGGGCAACATATGAGCTAAAAAGCTTTTAATCACTTGGGAACGTTCCCTCGTAAGATCTAATTTTTTCAGGATTTCTGTTTTTAATTTTATTATAAATCTTCGTCTTAATTTTAACGTAAACTAAAAACAATGAGGATGAGAGTAAAAAGATATATGTTATATGCTATTAAAAGATCAATTAAATTCCAGTAGCTCTCTAAATACATAGTATGATATCATGCCATTATTTAAACCTATTAATAACCTTTCAGACTGTTTAAATAACCATAAAAATTACATAGGAGCAAAATGTCAGATTGAAATTTTGTTGTTCAATTTGTACGTGCATATCTTGTGCTAAGTGAAAAAAAAGCAGTAAAATAGTCAGAATCTTCGAAGCAAATCACATCAGTCTAGAAGCCTCTTACAATCATATTCTAAATCTATGAATAAAAAATATCATTGAAAATGCCATAGGTCAATTGAGAAACTTCCTTCGTCAAAAAAAAATCAGTGTATTTACTGTTATTTAGGAGAATTTTATATTTTCTCTATAATATATATAAAAACCTTAAATTTTTCTAAATTTGGTTCTTTTTTAATCTGCTTTGCTGGTGTGGAAGAAGAAGATGACGATGATGATGGTAAGTGTTGTACAACTTGTACTTTTCGTTTTAATGTCGAAACATTACTTGAAGATTTTGATGTCATTCTTTTTTTTTTTTATTTTATCTAAAAATTAAAAAAAAAATGATGAAGAAAAATCGTACTATAGATGTATAAATATAATATCAATTGATTAAACAATATGAATGCCTGGTGTTCGACCTTTTGCACGTTTAATACTACTAATAAATGAAAGAAGTGTTGCTGTACCAGTAACAACACCAAATTCAGCTGGATTAGTTCGAATAGTTTTCAAATGAAATTTCACTTGTTTATTATTATCAATTTTTTTTTCTGGTCCTGTTAATTCAATTTCAACAATATGTCGATCATATAATGATGTATCAGCAATTAAACATCCTTGAACATGATCAAAACCAAGATTACTAGCAATTGTTGCACCAACAGCCATTGTATTAACATTATTTGGTGCTAATTGACATAATTCACGAACTGGACCTGAATAAATAATAATTTCACCTGGTTGATCATCAAGTTTTATTCGTTCATTATGTAATTTAGATCGTAATGGTTCATTAAGTTTATAACAATCAGGATGTTTTTTCATTGTTATACTTAATGAACAAAGTGTATTACGTTCATTCATTTTATCAATATCTTCGGCACCCCAAAAAGCACCTGTACCTATATAAATAGCATGACCTGATGTAAGAGTTTTTTTTCTTAATACTATTTCAAGTGATGCATTAGCAAGAGCTGTTGGTGATCCAATAAATAGATCACATATATCAAGTATTTTTTCAGCATATATTTCAATAACATTTGGATGTGCTACTTCAATAACTAAATCTGGTAAACGTTGTAAACCTTCTTCAACAGTTGATACAATTAAATTTTGATCAAGTTTTTTATTATATGTTAAAAAAATATCTTTTGAACGATTCCAAATAAAACTTAAATCAAAATCATATGTTGATTTATTATGTTCATTTTCAATATATTCATAAATAAATTGTCCTAGATGACCAAAACCAAGTATACCAATACGTAATGGTTGTGTTTTAGTATTACACTGCATTGATAAATGACAATGATTAAATCATCAAGAAAAAAAAAACAAAATAATCTATTCTATCTGACACGATTGAGTGAGTAACAAAAAAATACGAATACGAACAAGAAAGAAAAAAATTTAACAGTTATAATTCTTTGTAAAAAATTATTGGTTCTATTGATTGAGCAATCGAAAAAAAGAATGCTATCGTTTGGCTGATTAATATATATAATTTAATAGATATTGCTTAACACCCTCTATTCATAGCTAAAACTTGATTGGTTCATTTTTCTTGGGTTAAATCCAACTATTTACTCATACTTAGTTATTGCTCATTGAAATCTGCTAGTCTTCCCTAGTATATATTGTTTGTGAAATAAATGTGTTAGATTTCAATTATCGAAAAATAAAACACAAAAATGTAAGTTTTTAATATAAAAAAATATTTTGTTTTCACGATTTCTGTAATTTGTTGTAGGCCTCCACCTCGTTTCACTGGCCATCATCCTCATTATTCTCAACATCATCATGCAACTACAAGTGGTCAAACGTCTAATTCACTTACTTCATCTATTGTACCTGTTCAGCCAGGTAAATCGATTAGACTATTTTAAAATCATATTAAGAAATTTTCAATTGTTTTTTTTTTCTATTTTTGAAAAATAAAAGGTGAAATTGGTTTTGATGGAAAAATGTTACGTAAAGCTATGGCTCGTAAAACAGTTGATTATAATCCATCAATTATACGTTATCTTCAAGTAAAAATTCTTATTGATTATTCTATGATGGAAATTATACTTTTTTTTTTTTTCTATAGAATTCGATTTGGCAACGAAATTTAACTGATGGACGATCATTACAACCTGATGTTCTTTATATTCCACATGTAAAATAATTAATTAATTATATATTTTAATTGAAAATATAATTTTGTTTTTGTATTATAGCTTGTTCCACCTCATGCTCTTCTATCAAATCCAGTAAATTGTGTAATGACAAAATTTATTCGGCCAGCTACCAATAAAGTTCGATGTCCAATTTTTTGTGTTTGTGTATGTCATATATTTTTAAGATTTTTGTTTTTAAATAGTTTTAAAAATTTTTTTTAGTGGACACCTGATGGTCGTCGTTTAATAACAGGTGCATCTAGTGGAGAATTTACATTATGGAATGGATTAACATTTAACTTTGAAACTATTTTACAAGTATAATATTATAATTAAAAAGACAACATTGAAAAATTTTCATTGATTAATTTTGTTTTTTAATTTTAAGGCACATGATTCTGCTGTACGTGCAATGATTTGGTCGAATAATGAACAATGGATGTTAACTGGTGATCATAATGGTTTTGTTAAATATTGGCAATCAAATATGAATAATGTTAAAGTATATCAAGCACATAATGATCCAGTTAGAGGTTTAACGTAAGTTATATTTTGTAAAGAAAAGTATTATTAACAGAATTGTTTGAGGGATATATTAGATTATTTATTGAATATTAAAAAAATCAATCAAAGTTTTATTTCAAAACTTATTATGTAAATTATGAATACAAAAGGTAGAGATTAATATCTCAATGAAATTTTAAAATTTTAGGTTTGAGTTGTTTTTTAAAATAAATAATCAATACGAAAGTCCTAATGATCATAAAAATTTATTCTCAGAAAAAAAATTAAATACAATAGAACCTACCTTGATTGAAATCAGACACATGTTTACAGTGAAATACAATCTATTAATGAAGCCGTATTTTCCAGAAGATGCCGGGTCGGTAATACGGATGTACGTATGATAAAATGCAGCAACTTTATGACGTTTTAGGTGAGGATGTGACCAGTAATACTGGGCATACTATAACGACATAATACAGTATAATAATGTGATTCTTAACAATGGACCTGAGTAATACTGCGCCGGCCAAACGACAGATGAACCACTCTAAAAACGATCATTTGCACCGTGTTTATTCGGCCTAGAACTTTTGAGAATGTTATGACATACTCTAGAATTCGTTAGTAAATACATTAGATGTCTGGAAATATTGTAAACAAAAACAAAGCAATCATTGTTTTCTCTTTAATTGTCATCAAACATTTTGTTACACAAAGAATTTTATTTCCAAGAACTAAATAATTAAATAATAAGAGCTGGCCTTACGTTTTTTTTTAGAGTCTAGTAGTGTTTCATTGAATAATCATTTAGTAAGGTCTCACGGATGTACATTTATTATCCTTCATCGTTTTTGATCAATCTATAGAACTTGAAATAAATTTTCTTGTATTTTGTTTCCAGATGGAAATATTAAAATCAAACCATATTACTAAATCTTTTTTTTTTCTCATATAGATTTTCACCAAATGATAGCAAATTTGCCAGTTGTTCCGATGATAGTTTTATTCGTATATTTGATTTTATGACGGGTACTGAAGAACGTGAATTACGAGGTTCGTTTACTTATTTTTTTTTAATTCTATTATCTATAAAAAAAAATTCAAAAATTCACTAGGTCATGGTTGTGATGTCAAATGTGTTGATTGGCATCCACATAAAGGTTTACTTGTATCTGGCAGTAAAGATTCTCAACAACCAATTATTCTTTGGGATCCAAAAAGTGGAAAAAAATTAGCAACACTGTAAATTAATTTCTTTAATTTTAGACAAAAAATAAAAACACATTTGCTTTTTTTTTTTTTTTTTTTTTGTTAAATAATTTAGTCATGCTCATAAAAATACATGTATGGCATTAAAATGGAATCGTCATAATGGAAATTGGTTAATATCAGCATCACGTGATCATTTTTGTAAATTATTTGATATAAGAAATCTTAAAGAAGAAGTTCAATGTTTTCGTGGACACAAAAAAGAAGCATGCAGTAAGCTCATTTTATTCGTTTATTATTGTTTACAAATAAAGATCATAATAATAAAATGTATGTGCTTGATATTGTTTCTTTTTAAAAATGAAATAAAACTGTTTCTTCATCTAATAAATATATATAAATTCTTGGGCAAAGATCTTTCTCGTCCTCTTCTCTTTTAAAATCTTTTTAGTATCGATCTAAACTATAATAAATGTATTTTATTGTAATATGATGTATAATCACCATTTTGTTTCAATCAAATATTGTACTTGTCTTTTCATACGATCGTCCAATTTGATAGTCAAATCAATTGATAGAGCTGTTCATGCTTTTCTTATTTCTTGTTTCAATTCTTGAGTTTGTTTGAATTGTTCTTAACTTGTTGTATTCTTCATTATTGACCAAAAGTTTTCAATTGGATATTGATCTGGTGATAAAGAGGGTCAAGACAGAATCTGAATCTGATTATCGATCGCCAGACAAAATCTGTGTCTAGGATGATTGTCCTCTTGAAGGATCCAACTAGATGGACCTTTAGAAAAACTGATAATGAGAAATAGGCAGAAGACCGTTCTCATATATGCTGCACATACTTGAGAGAGTATTTAAGTGCATGAACGCAATATCGGTAACATCTGGAAACCACCAAAATTTTTTCTACTGTTGCCAAGTTTGTATGTCGTTACATCTGTAAAAATCACGTTGTTTCAATTGAAATTTAAATGCTCGTCAAGCCCAAATGAGTCATTGCGTATGATGTTTGTGTGTGAGTAAAGACTTTTTCAAAGGTGGATCATAACTTCCATCGCTTTCATGCACTCGACGTCCAAGCAGTACTTAGATCTATATTCATGTCGTCGTTTTTTTAAATTTTTGAATTGTTATTTGATATAACCTTCAGCTCACGTTTGGCAATATGAATGACCTTTGTATTTGTTTTCTTCGACGTGGCACGTGGTCAACTAGTTCTTGGTACATTAAACAGGTTATCATTTTGTTATTTGTCTGGCAAACCGACGCCGTACGGCTTTTGATTCACACTCAATGTACTTCGAGATGGCTTTATTTCACATTTTAGTACCCAATGGATGTAGCTTGAAAAATACAATTTCAAAGTGGTTTGATAGAGAAAGTGATATGTTTTAAATCTTGCGAAAGAATGATAAAGGAAACTATTTTCGATATCGGTCCACATTTTATTTGCTAACCATTGTTGCATAATACTGGGCCATCCGAATCAATAAATAAGAAAGTAAATATTCCAAATTTTTAAAAATAAAGTGGAGGAGGAAGACTGTTGCCCATTGCTGTAAAACCGATATAACTATAAACATATATTGAAAGTAATTGTTTTGATTCATGTTCGATTTTTGTAATAATAATAAATGAAAAAAATTATTTTAAAGAAGAATTTTTCATTTTATATGCTTAATTATTTTTCTTTTTGTTATTCATCGTGTAGCATTGGCATGGCATCCAATACACGAACGACTTTTTTCAAGTGGAGGATCCGATGGTTCAATTTATTTTTGGCTTATCGGGTATGATGTTTTTCATTAGAAATAAATGCGCTACTACTTAAATATTCATGTTTGATCTATTCAATTAAATCGATTTCAACAATTTATACAGATAATAAATTATAGTCGGATAATGAAAGTGATAGAGATCCGTTTAGTAGTAAAGACTTGAATAGAATTCAGAGTACAAGAAAAATGAATGACAAACATTCTTTGAAAATCTAACGAAGTAATGTCTTTTTTTTTTTAATAGAACAGAAAAAGAATTAGCTGGTATGGATGATGCACACGAAGGTATGATATGGGATATGTCATGGCATCCTCTTGGTCATATGCTTGTTAGTGGTTCAAATGATCATACAACGTTTGTATTCATATTTGTTTTCTTTTTACTTTTTTCGTTATTTAATTATTCATTTTTCTTTTTTAATGTTCAGACGATTTTGGACACGTAATCGATCTGGTGATACTGTACTTGAAAGAAGTGAAGAAGGACAATTACTACATGCTGCACGTCTTGAACAATTACATCGCGAAGAATTAGAACATGAACGTTCAATGGAAATGAATATGCCTGGTTTAGGTTTTGAAGGTGGTTTACTTGAACAATTACAACAACAACAACAAGGTAAATTCGTATTAAAAAAAAAAAGTAAGTAATTTGAAATTTTTTTATTTTATCTAGATGAGACAACTAATCAACGTGAAGTTGGTATACCTAGTCAAGAATTTTCAAATGACGATGAAGAAAGTCGACGAAGACGTGTATGTTTCATGTTTATTTGATAAATTTATAAAGATTTTGTTATTATGTAGGCACCATTTGCCAAACCAGTACCTAAATCATTTGAAGAAGCATGGCGTTCTGTTGAAACATTTTCGGGTAATAATAACAATAGAATGATTTTCAAGCAGACAAAAGAGTAAAAAGACGCGTCAAAACATATATTAAATTTATCCATCGTATTCGAATGCCAATAACGTAACATTTTTGACGATCGATGTATTACAGATTTTTCACTCGTTTACACGCTTACTTTTTACAAACGTTTCTAAGTCATAATTTCGAAATGTGATTAGCATCCTAGAATAAACAGACTTTTCGTGTATTTAAATATCTCATTACTTTTTCTCTATTTCCACACCTTTTCTCCATGATATTTTTTACCGTCTCAGTCCTTTATACAATATCAATAATTGATACACAGACAAATAAGACTATCTATTTTACTCACTAACTACGCATCTACTTACTTAACTATGCATCTACCTATCTAACTAGCTAGTTTTAACTATATGTCTAACTGCCTATCTATGAACAGACTATATGTTTACAAATGTAATCACGTACTTAAGTTATTATGCATCCATATGTCTACTTAAGTCAAGTTTTCTTGCTTTTTGTGTTTGATATGTAATCAGTTTTCAAGAAGACCACTATTGGAGGTAGATAAAATATGAATCTCGAAGTTTACTATTGTGGTTAGAAAGATTACCATCTCCTCTGTCAAGCAATACAAGACAGAGATGACTAATTATTTTCATCTAAGAGAATATAAAGATTTTATTGAAGACTCTACATCATAATTCTTCAAAACTTGATGTTATAATTTAGTGTATTTTCAATAGAAAAATAATATAGTTTTCTGTCGATTGTAGATAGTATTTAAAAATTCATCAACTGTCAAGTTCTTGCTATTTTATAGTTATTCAAAAAATGCCTGCTGCGATTTGCCTCTGCAATAAATACTAACTATCTAATTATCGACCTAATTCTTTGTTAAAACATCCGCTTTATTGAATATTTGACTATTTTTTAATTATATAAATAACTATGTATCCTATCTATTTCTGTATCTATCTGTCGTCTATCAAAGCAACAAAGATACCTTAAAAATGACTTTTCATTAAATTAATAGTAGAGAATACACATCGCAGACGAGACTGTATGAAAAAAGTAGACAAGTTGGAAATAAAACAGACCACATAGAAAATAATGCCAATGGAGAATGACACGAAAAGGTTGTAGCAATTGATGAAAGTTCGAAACGAGTTACGTTAATCATTTAAAAGATAGGTCACTGAGTATCAATTTTTATGTTTATCATAGACTTCTTATTCTAGCTGAGACAGATAAGAGATTTAAATTCAGGCGCCAGAATGCTACCATTGAAATATCTTATCGTTCTTCTTAATTCCACAGTCGATTATCATGAACATAAAGATAAAGATTAGCTGCATATTTCACATATGTTGTCATTATTATCAGAAAGTTTATAGATGAGGATGAAACATGAAACTCAGTAATTCTTCACTTTAATCATATCCTTTATGAAGCTGTTGGATAAGCAAACGTACTCTTTTTATCATTTTTGTCTCTTACAAATAAATCGCTTTATATTAAATCTACTTTGTATTCTTACTCTACATAAAATTAGCCTTTTTTTTTGCGTTTTATTTGAGACGTCAATATGTATTCACAGAGTGGACCTATCAAGAACATAAGCATTTTATGCGTTAAAATAGTCTAACCTGTGACTTCACATCGTTAACAATGCATTTCGAGAAGTTACATGCGTGCAAAACGACAAGCCTAGTGGTACTGTTAGAGAAAATTTTAATCATAGTCACACCCAAATAACCTAGTATCTCCTCATCCTTAGACCATAATTTCTTTTCCACATGTATTTTTGTAAAAATGAAGGGGTGACTTTTAGTCTTTGTGGTCTTGATATTTCCAAGAAGGAAATATTTGGAACTTCTTTGTCTCTGATAAATTTTGTTCTACTTATCAAGATCTATTCATCTCGAAAGTTTCAAAATTTTTTGGTAAGGTGCTCTCCAAAAGTGTGGGGGATGGAAGAGATCCCTTAATTATTCAGAAAAAAATCTTTTCATAAGTACTATTCCGAGTTTCTACTATTCATTTGATTATGTAAATTTATTTTAGGTTCGTTGGAGTCTGATGATTCTTTTTATGTAAGCATTTATTATATTTGTAATGTTCTATATTTTTTTGTCATATCATAATGATAAATAATTTTAGTCTCAACAAGCTCCGCCACCAGCGAATTTTTCACATGGAGTACCCTCAATGCTCGACGATTATCCTCGAAATAGTGGATCATCTGATTATGATACTCGTGCCGGTGGTCCACCGATGAAACGACTACGCCATGATGTTTTCAATGATGGTCATTGGGCTAATGCACCCACAGAACGACGAGGAACGAATTTTTCATCAATACCACAAAATCAAGCATCTCACTGGCGACAGAGCACTAATGAGTTACCAGCAAGTGCTAACACTATATTAGATGAAACACTTGGTGATACATTAACTGCTGCACAACAAGGTGTTTCACCATTTTTTCAAACAGCTAGTGATGAAGAAATACGAGGATTTAATCAAACATTAAGAATATTTCAAAAATGATTTTTGAATTTTTGTATTTTATTATCAAGAGAGTATCTTTCTTTGTTTAAGGATTTATTTTTGTCGTCTTTACTATTGTTGTAATATTATTTGTATACAAAATAAGAGAAGAACCGAAATCGATCTTTGTTTTGTTTTCTTTTTTGACTTTTATTCTATGTAATTATTCGAGAAAAAAAAAATGAAAAATAAAATCCGATTCATTTGTTTCCTCTTCTTTTTCTTTATTATTTCGTTTAAGAAATTTCCTAAATTAAAATTTATTAGAAAATACATTTACATCGAATGTTATTTTCATCATATATTTATCGTAAATTTAATACTATAATATCTAATTTTCGTCATTCATCATCGAATGTAACAATTAAAATTAGTCATGTTGATGATACACCATCAATTCGTCTTATTGGAATAAATCGTCCATCGAAAAGAAATTGTGTTAATCATTCTACAGCACTTCAACTTTTTTCAGCATTTCAACAATATGAAAAAGATGATAGTGTACGTTTAGCTATTTTATATGGTGAAGGTGGTTCAGCATTTTGTGCTGGTTATGATTTAAGTGAAGTTGCTTCAGCAAATCTTCCACTACCAATGAATTATAATAAAGATAAACTTGCACCAATGGGACCAAGTCGTATGAATTTAAAAAAACCATTAATAGCTGCTATTGCTGGACCATGTGTTGCTGGTGGTCTAGAATTATCACTTCTAGCTGATATGCGTGTTGGTGAACAATCATCAAAATATGGTGTGTTATGTCGTCGTTTTGGTGTACCACTTATTGATGGTGGTACAGTTCGTTTACCACGTCTTATTGGTCTTTCACGTGCACTTGATTTAATTCTAACAGGTCGATCTGTAACTGCACAAGAAGCATTTCATATTGGATTAATTAATCGTCTTGTACCTGATGGTCAATGTTTATTGGAAGCAATTCAACTGGCAAAAGATATACTTCGATTTCCCTATGAATGTATGAATACTGATCGAATGTCAGCATATTTTTCTGTATCGAATACAATTGATGATAGTCTTAAGAATGAATATGAACATGGAATAAAATTAATTGAACGTGAATCAATATCAGGTGCAAAACATTTTGTTGAAGATAAACAAGGACGAGGGGGAAAATATGATGATATTAAATGAAAGATTAGATTTTACTTTCTTTTTGATTTTTTTTTTAATTGGGATTTTTTTATTAAAATTTAAAAATTACATCTGTAAGATTAATAGTTAGTTACATTACAAAAAAAAAACATCTTTCTTTTCTTTTCTGTTTTAAAAATATGCATCGAGTTTATAAGCTAAATTTTTTATAAGACGATAATGAGTTCGTGGTCCAATATCAATTGTATTTTCGACATCTTTCCAAATAAAACGTGGTTGTTCAAGATATTCAAGTTGTTGATTATGAAGATATGGTATACATGATGTTAATTGATGATCATTATCTAATAAATATTCAATTGATAATTCAATCCAAGCATTATCTGTATTACGAGCATCATCAAAATAAGCACCTTTCCATGGTGTTGGATTTTGCTCAAATAAATGATTTAATGCAATAAGAGATGATGAAATTTTTTTTCGATTATTTAATATTATACCTAATTTGATATTAAAATCATAAGAACAAAAAAATTAGACTTATAATGGATGATTGGAAAGTTTTTAGACAAGATGTTTGTTCACTTTTAACTCGTTAAAAATTATTAAAAGATGTGAATTAGGAATCAGAATTTTGTGTTGTTTTCGAATATGAACATTAGAAATTTTGTCTTAATTTTTGTTCGAGTATAGTGAAATAGTCTTGAAAAAGCCCGAAAATTGTTGTATTTTCATTAATGTGATTCGAAATTAAAAGTTGAAATCTTTAATTTATACATCAGCGTGTTGATCAAAAGCTATGCTACAAAATGTACTATTTGAAGTTTTCTTTTTGGTCTTTCAACAAGGCACTTCAATCTTCGTTCTTTCTCAATGATCATTTTTGAAAAATTGACAACCGTTTTATGTTGAAAGGAGCTCTTGAAAAAAACTACTTGTAGCTTCACTTGAGCACCACCTGCACCTTCATTCAACAGAGCACATTTTGAAGAGAAGTGTTCGCTCTACACAACGGCTGACTCCGAAAATTTTTTGTGTTCGAAAGTGACATATAGAATAAACACAAACCTGTTGGCTTACAATTAAAAATAAGTTTTTAGGTCTTTCAAAAAGTTCGTCACTACTTTAAAACAAGTCAAAATGAGCAAACATAATCATCAGAAACGTCGACTCACAAGTTCCGTCCAAACTAATTTTGTTGGGCTTTTTGGAAGATTAATTCACTATTCTGGAAAAACAAAACTGAGACAAATTTTCTAAGTTCGTGCTTGAAAAGATCACAAAATCATAGATTTTGATTCATTGGAAATACTTTCTAACGAATCAAAAAGTGAACAAACATTTTGTCTAAAAACTTTTCAATCATCAATTAATTTAATTTAACCTGTATGAATAATAAAACGTTTTAAACGATCTTGTAATTGAGGAGGANATTAGGAATCAGAATTTTGTGTTGTTTTCGAATATGAACATTAGAAATTTTGTCTTAATTTTTGTTCGAGTATAGTGAAATAGTCTTGAAAAAGCCCGAAAATTGTTGTATTTTCATTAATGTGATTCGAAATTAAAAGTTGAAATCTTTAATTTATACATCAGCGTGTTGATCAGAAGCTATGCTACAAAATGTACTATTTGAAGTTTTCTTTTTGGTCTTTCAACAAGGCACTTCAATCTTCGTTCTTTCTCAATGATCATTTTTGAAAAGTTGACAACCGTTTTATGTTGAAAGGAGCTCTTGAAAAAAACTACTTGTAGCTTCACTTGAGTACCAACTGCACCTTCATTCAACAGCACATTTTGAAGAGAAGTATTCGCTCTACACAACGGCTGGCTCCGAAATTTTTTTGTGTTCGAAAGTGACATATAGAATAAACACAAACCTGTTGGCTTACAATTAAAAATAATTTTTTAGGTCTTTCAAAAAGTTCGTCACTACTTTAAAACAAGTCAAAATGAACAAACATGATCACCAGAAACGTCGACTCACAAGTTCCGTCCAAATTAATTTTGTTAGGCTTTTTTGAAGATTCATTCACTATTCTGGAAAAACAAAACTGAGATAAATTTTCTAAGTTCATGCTTGAAAAGATCACAAAATCATAGATTTTGATTCATCGGAAATACTTTCTAACGAATCAAAAACTGAACAAACATTTTGTTTAAAAACTTTTCAATCATCAATTAATTTAATTTAACCTGTATGAATAATAAAACGTTTTAAACGATCTTGTAATTGAGGAGGAAATCGACTACCTATCATACGTAAACCACCAGTTAAAATAAAATCATGTGTTGTATAACCATCAGTTTGTATTTCTAAAAGAATTTCGAGAATCTTTTTTTCATTTGATGGATGTAAAAGAATATTTCCATAAATATCACGTTTCCATCGACATATTATTATATAATGATATATATTTGGACCCCATCTAAGAAGTATACCACGTCCTTGTAAACCAGTACGACCAATAGGATTCAATGGAAGACCATCATGTTCACGTATATGATAATGTTGATAAACACTACGACGATCGACAGCACCATCGATTGTATTAAAATGAAGAGAAATCGATGATGATGATTTGAGTAGATCTAAAAAAATTCACAGGAACAATTTTGTTTTTCTTTATTATATTTTATTCATACCAGGATCTGCACCTGGATTGATATAAATTTCTTCAGCAGTAAATATAGTCGGTCTATATTGTGACCATTCATATGACCATGGTACTTGAATATCATTAACTAATGTTCGTAATACATTTTTATACATTGTATAAGGACTTGTACGCGCTCGATGATGAATTCGTTGTTTTTTATTAATATCATCGTCATCATCCTCATCCTCATCATCATTATCTAATCTATCATGATATAATAAAACATTATTTTTTTTTCGTATTACAGATGGAATTTTTAATTGATAATTTTGCCAATGATCAATTGTCTTTTGTGATTTTAGAGAACGTTTACTTGGAATAAAACGAGTTAAATGATTATTTACATTAAGATCTTGTGTAGTTATATTTGAATTCAATGGTGTTATTGATCGAGCAGACATAGCTGTTAGACAAGCTTGTACAACTGTATCACGTATAGTATCCAAAGATTGTTGCATAAAATCTTTAAACCAATCGAAATGATTTTCACTATCATTTTGAACAGTGACCGATTTTTTACAAATAAATTCTAAGACAAAATAGATATTTAAATAATTAATCTAAAGCAAATCAAACGATATATTTTTGAAAGAAATAATGTCTAGATAAAGTCATCTCCTAGTAATTGTATTGAGTTGAACAGTATGTCATAGGATCTTGATGGGTATCCTAGTGAGATTTGTCTCACGTCATTCGACTTCATATTATAACTATGAATAGGTCTCGATGGAACTAGAAAAAGCTTAAAAGGATTCAGAACTCATGGCCTATTGATGAAAAGTTAGAACTATTTCAATGTAATTTTTATTAAGAGCATAGCATTATCGAAAAATTCAAAACGAAGATTTTTTAGTTGAAGTTTTGTCTATAAGCAGATTTCATAGCAATAAAATAATTCTGAAAGTTTCAAAGGAAATGAATATGAATCGGATAATTGCTTTTTCTTCTTCTTCATTGAAATATGATCCTACCATTTTTTGATTGTGAATTAGTTCGAGCACATTGTGATTCATTTGATTCTGATAACGAAATAATTTGTTGTTTTCGAGCATTTTCAGAGAAAGCTAAATGATCAGTATGATTTCGTTGTTTCTTATTCATATTATCTTCTTCATTTATTGTTCGTTGACTTTCTCTAGATGAACATCGTTTTCGTGAATAATATCGTTGAAATGATGAATAAGAATTTTTCTTATTCTCATTTGTTGTTGCATGTTTTTGTACAATCGATTCACTAAATTCAATTTCAATAGTTGATTCAGATTTAAAATCATCTTCATGATTTTGTTGAATAGAATGATTTTTTATTGAATTCATATTTAATTTTCTTATTTGATCATATTGAATTTAAAAAAAAAAGATACAATGAGAAAATATTAGAAAGCAAAAATCTTCAATATATTGTCAAGGAGATTCTTTTTTGGTAAAATAAATTAAAAAAAACTAGGGAGCGCACTTTATACTTATCTCTTTGGTATTTAAAAAACAAAAACAAGATGTATCCTTATTGATTTATTTTTCATTATCTATTAGAAATTGTGTTTGTTGGGTCGGCTAATGTTCATGTTAATAATACATTAATTGCTGATAAATCAGGTCGTGTACTAATTTATCATGGTGCCAATTTTTTATCAAAAGAATTTCCTTAGTATTCAAATTTTGTTGAAAATAGGGTTTGAATTGTGTAAAAAATTTATGTTTCTTTCATTTATTGCATTTTAGAATGATGCGGTCTGGTGTTGAACTTGAACCAAAAAACTATAATGTTACTTATTTAAATACAATGAAAAAAATTATTGAATTACTTGCATCAAATCATATATTTGTTTTATTTGATGTGCATCAAGACATATTATCAAGTTGAACAGGAACTTATGATGGTATACCAGAATGCTTATATGATCGATTTTCACCTCCAGTTCATTCGTGTAATAAAAGAAATAAGAAAAGTTTTTTTTTTTATACTAAGATTTTCTTTTTTTTTTAGAGACTTGACCATTCCAGACGGCTCGTAGTATTAATAAGTGGTTTCTTGGATGTGTAAAAAATAATTGATTTGAAACTAACTTTAGTCCTTAGTTTTAAATGTTAGTTATATAACAGAAGCGCATGTTCACATGAATTTCAATGTTTATATAATAATAACGGTGATGCTATTGAATGAATGAGTGATTTTTGGCGATTGATAGTTTCGACTTATAAACTAAAGTCTAATGTTCTAGGGTGAGTAACTATTCTTTCATTTTTCTATTCGATTATTTTTCGTATTTTGTTTTTATTTGTATTCAGATATGAAATTATCAATTAAGCATGGACTGGAAATTATTTACAGAATCCATTTTTACTCTGACCACATATTACTCGAGCTGCAAACTTACAACAAATTTACGAAAAAATAGCTAAAGCTATTCATTCAGTCGATAACAATGCTCTTATTTTTTACGAACCTGTAACATAGGGTGGTATGTAATAGCTCTACACGAATTTATTCTAATGTCATATTTTTTATTTAGCGTTCGATTAAATGATAAATATTTTGGTACTGAATTTACTCATGCACCTGATGGTAATGATTATCAAATACCATTATTTGATCGTGTACTTTGTGATGATATTGAAGAACCAGTGCTTTTTCGTTCGATTCAAAATGATCTTGCACAATTAGATAGTTCAGAATTTTAAACTCAATTTGGTAAGTGTGACGATTTACTAACATATGATGAGCAACTTGATTGGGCTTTAGATCCGGCTGATGCATTTTTATAATCAAGGGTCATTTTCGGGAAATTTTTATAATGATTAAACATTAATGAAACTTTTATCACGTGTATATGTTCGTGCTATTGCTGGTAAACTACTAACAATGCAATATATAACTGAAGATATTTTTTTTTTGATTTATCTTATTATATTGATACAAATATAAAACAACCTACAGAAATCTTCGTATCACCTCTACAATATCTAAAATCAAGTTATAATATTACTGTAAATGATATATTAAAATGGCAAGTTGATTGAACAAATCCTAATATTATTCTTGTTAAACCTAGAGACCAAATTATAAATAGTAAAGATCAAAATGTTCTAGGTGTATTTTTTTATATTTGAACTTTTGCTTTTCTATGATGAAATATTTTTTTAAATCTAATGTAGTTCATTTGATTTTTTTACGTTTTAATGATTTTTCTAAAAAAATTAATTTAATACAAATAAGTTTAGTATGAATTAAATATATTCTTATTAGATTGAATGTATAAAGACATAAGAAAAAAAAAATAGCGCAAGTAAGAAAATTAATAATTATATTTTTCTTCTTTTTTTGTGTTATTAATTTCGAAACGATATCGATGTTATTAGACTATAAAATGTGACTATGATTAAAATTCATTTACAGGATTTTTTGAACAGTAAAATTAACAAACCAAATGAATCAATATAATTTCCACTCATCAAACCATTCTAAATCAATCAACATTCAAAATAATAAAAAGTTCACTTGTACTCATATTACTGTCACACCTCAGTCAATGACAAAATGTAATGGTACTTGCTTTCAAACAGGTATATCTATATTAATATTACACATCATATAAAATATTGAATTAATTAATTTTTATTAATTTTAGATATCTATCAACAAATATCATATGCCCATTCACCTGTGTATTCACGCTCTTGTTCATCAAATATAATTCCTGCAAATCATTTCAAGCCTTTTACAAAGGTTCAACCATGGTCTTTTATGCCTTCAATAGATAATAATCCTCCATTTAATGAATCATCTTACTTCAAAAAGATTAAAAAAAAGCAAACATCACTCAATCGTTCTTCATATCGAGTCACAGTACGACGAATAACTGCACCACATATCGCTGCAGCTGCAGTTGAAACTTATCGCATGCATAAAAATAAAGTATCAAATACAATTCATTATGAACAATTAAATCAAACAGTCATAAATAATCATGAACGATGCAGAACTCTAGAAGCTACGAATATATATAAAGAAAATTATTATAACTCTAATAATGAAAATATTCCATCAGTACCTTTTAAGAAAATCTTAATCATAAATAATGGTATTCAAATGAGCAGTACTAGTTTAATTATAACAAATAATGATCAAGTAATGATCTTATATATTTTCATGAATATTTGTAATTAATTTTTAGATAAATCTTATTAGTGATAATAATTCAGAGGAAAATTTTTCTGAACATTATATGAAGCAAGTTCAAACATTCAATGAATTATTGCCATCTATGACACAAATAAGCCAATCAACTAATGATAGGTTAGTCTTATCTAGAATTTATTCAGCATTGATAAATGTCAAAGTCATCAATCCGACATTTTCCTTTCATCAAATAACAATTAAACACGCTCCAACCCTTCCCGCCCTCCCAGAATGAAAGGTCATAGCCTTTAATTATGGAGATTTACATTTTTTTTTCGATGAGTTTCCAAGAAAAAAGGCTTTTTGGAAAACCCATAACATTCTATTACGTCTTATTAAGTTTTTCTTATGGATGATCTTGTATTCTGGGACATGTAGCAAAAGTGACAATATAATCTGATAAAAAAAAAGAATTGCTTCATTGTATGTCTAATAAAAATTAGGTTAATAAACAAATCCAATCAAAATGTAATTGTATGACCAAAACAATACTCATCTGTTCAATTTCAAATTATGATTAATAAAGCAGATAAATATAAATCTCCATCTATCAAATAGAAATATAATTCATTAGAGAGTTAATTAGCATAAATTGTTTTCATTTAAACAAAAATTTATGTGATAAGAAAATAAATGAAATTGATTATATATATATTCAAAATGATTTTCTTCTAGCTTTACATAATGCTGCGTCAAATGAATTAAACATTGAAACGTCTTTCATGCATACTACATATACCAATTACATCGATTTTCATTATAATTATAATCAAATATAGATAATATGAAAAATTCAATGACATACGTATCCTCTGATTATCTCGATCTATAAAATCTTTATTATCATTAATCGATTAAACTTAAACATCAGTTACTCATATTGGCAGAGCTAATTTATTTTTATATCTTACTGGATCAATCTTTGATTTTTAGATTAAATGATTGATGAAATTAAAACAAAAAAACTTCTTTTTATTTTTCTTAAATTTTTGTTTTAGCATTTTTTTTTATTGGATCTAATGTAATAGCAATACGACCAAAAAAAGAATAACTACTTTTAGTAATGAAAAGTTAATACAGCCCGTGGTATTCAAGAGGAAAAGATTTGGCGAAAATGAAAAATAAATATGTCGGTTCTTCATGATAACACACACAAACAAACAAACGCATATTTGGTCGAATCCATTTTTCAAGTCTAAGTTTATTTAAAGCTATTTAAGCCTTTGTTTGAGTAGTGGCATTAGCTTCAGCTTTCTTTTTTGCAGCTACAAAAGCCATAAGATTGTCAGTTGTTTCTGATTTGGGTCGTTCCAATGGAAATCCTAGTGCTCGTGACCATATCATTTGGGCAAGTACACCAAGTGCACGTGAAACACCAAATAAAACAGTATAAAAACTCATTTCTTTCATACCATAATACTAATAATAAAAAATATACATACATTGATAATATAAATAATTTAAATAAAATAATAAACTTACTCGAAGAAGAACACCAGAATGTGCATCTACATTTGGCCATGGGTTTCTAATTTTACCAATATCACCAAGTATTGGTGGTACAACTTTAAACAGTTGTGAAACAATTTTAAACATATTGTCATTCGGTAAATGCTTGAGAGCAAAATCACGTTGACATGTATAGCGTGGATCAGTTTTACGTAAAACAGCATGTCCAAAACCAGGTACAACACTTGTTTTAAGTGTATCAAGAACATATTGTTTTATTTGGTCATCAGTTGGTGTTTCACCTAATTTTTCAACTAATTTTGTTATCCAAACTAAAACTTCTTGATTAGCAAGACCATGAAGTGGCCCAGCAAGACCATTCATAGCAGCAGCAAATGATAAATATGGATCCGAGAGAGCACTGCCAACAAGATGACTTGTATGTGCACTTACATTACCACCTTCATGATCACTAAATTTCGTAAAAACAATAAATATACATATAAATTATATTTGTTAAATTTATTTTTATCTTTTCTAAATATGAGCAGGATGATCCTAGAATCGAAACTGGGACTAAGTATTCTTTTTTTGACCGGGACCGAAAACAATCGGTTTCTCTCATCACTAATCCTTACCTATGAATTGTTAAATAAAGTCGAAGTACATCAACAAAATATTTATTATCATAACCTAACATAGTTGCAAAATTCCATGACCAATCTTTTTTTGAATCAATAGCACCAACAGCTGTTCCATCACGATATAAATTTCGATAGATAATAGAAGCAATTGTTGGTAATTTAGCTATTAAATCCATTGCATCTTCATAAGTATACTACAAGAAAAAAAAAACAAGGAAAAAAATTTGTAATAAAAATGAAATATATAAACCAACCTCCCAATATTTAGATTTTGGTACATTATCCGAATAAGCTTTTGCAAATTTCGAACCAAGATTAAGAACAGTAACAGCAGCACTAAGTTGTGACATTGGATGAAGTTGTGCTGGAAAATTATTTAACATTGTCACAACATGTTGAGGTATGTCAGCACGATTATTCCATTCACGAGTAACCCAGTCGACCTTACAAAAATGAATAATATTTTTTTTTTGTCCTGTTATTTATATAAATAATTACTTGTTCTTGAGTTGGCATTTGTGATGTAGCTAACAACCAAAAGAGACCTTCAGGTAATGGTTCTTCGCCACCTTTTGCTCTTGGTAATTGAGCTCGACATTCGTCGATTGTTTTGCCACGAAAACGAATACCTTCATTGGCATCTAATAGTGATGTTTCATACACAAGACCTTTAATATCACGCATACCACCATAAATCTTAACAGTGTATCATAAAAGATAATTTATAAAAATAAAATATTTTATTTTTACTTGATCAACATTGACCTGGCCAATTACTACATCCTTATTTTCAGCTTTAAATGCAGCTACACGTTTTTGTTCTTTTGGAATAAGTTCACGTAGAACTTCCTTCAAATCCTATAAACAAAAAACGAAAATTTTATTTAAATAGATAAAAGAAATGAAATAAATGTACTGTTGTTTGTGTTGAAGCATAACATTTCGATTGTAAGCCAACAAGATGATTCTTTGTGAATAAAAACAAAGAAAATTTCTATTATTTAAATAGATATTAATTAAAATACCGTTCGAATTGTTGAATTTGCAATGCGAAGAATTGAACGAGTACCAACTGCCATTTTGTTTTTCTCCTTTTATATTTAGGTCTAAAATGTATGCGTACTACTATTATTGATAGGGATCAGCAAAAGAAAAAGAATGAATCGTACACATTCACCTTCAGTAAACACCCATAGTCCACAAAGTATTTTGTCCAATAAAATATCAGATTTTATTTGCTGACTTTGATATAAATGTTAAAGTATAGTGATAGTTTGCGACATCTGTTTAACTCTGTGTTTTATTTTTTATTCTTATTTATTAAGAGAACTCATTAGTAAAGCCTCTATGTTAAAACAATATTGATATTTGACAATGATATTGATTGTTTGTTTTTATTTTAATACATAGAGTATTAATTATTAAATCGATTTTGGCTAAAACTTTTCTTGATGAAAAACTTACAATAATTTTGATAAGACATCTTTTGTCTCTAGAGTCGCAGTGTGTTTTAGTTTTACAATCAATAAAAGTAACCTTGATTTCATGTTGTGATATTTTTAAAAAGTTTTTATATCTACAAGAAAATATGTTCTTTGTTTTCATTGTCGTAAACTTCTAATCTTTTTCTTTTAAGACCTTCTCTCATCAGTAGATTCATGAAAACTGAATATATATATATATATAGTAGAAAAATTATATTAAAATTCAATAATTGAGATTTGATGCACAAAAAAAACTAATGACCTTATGGTTACCTGGATACAAAACAATCAAATAACTTTTGAGAATAACATGGGTACATGATGGTATATGACATGTAAATGTCGAAGGTTTTATCTTGGGTTTTTATTCTCTTATCATATCGAAAAGAATACGGAGCTCGTTATTTACACATAAACAAGCACACATGTTTTATATTTCTCCGTATACGACCGAATTACATGGCCCCCATATACGGAACATATACCAGAAAAAATAGAGACCGTATATGACATACTGATATACGATCCCATGACGTAAATCGTCATAAGTTTCCGTATACGATTGTTTACGTTCGTGCCTATTTCACTTGGGTAATAGAGAAAATAACGTTTGATGAATAAAATAAATATATATATATATATATACAGTAGCCGACAAAAGTCTCTACCTATCCAAATCTCGGCTACCACAAGTACTGGAGATCTGAAAATTCGTGTGCATATAATTCACCAAGAATTTAGATCATAGCCATGAGCTTGCTTTGATTGGTAACATACAACAAGAATTATGGCGTATAGTAATGGATAGCACTTCTTTTTTTCTTTGAGGTTTATGTATCAGAAAAGAAAAAGCTTTATGGAACAGCTGATTCCTCATTATTCACAGCTATACTCTAGCTATCTACGCTATTAATTTCATCGAAGTCCATAAATCCGAACTAGAACTGTGGGCATTTCATTGTGACTATTTGAAGGGCGAAAAACTCCCTATTGCACTGTGTCGAACATAATTGAGTAATTCTTCAATAAATCAAGCTCAAACTATTAGAGAAACTTTGCTTGTAGCTGAGCATTATTGCCCACAAGCTTCACGAAAGAAGCATCTTCCAAAGAGAAATGGTGTGCCATGCATTATTGTGTTGGCGCCAACTACTCAGAGACCTTCAAAGGCAGCAATCTTGCAGCGAATAGCATGATATTTTGAGTGAAGAAAGACTTTACACTACGCTTCAGTTATACAGTAAAATATCGAAACTTAATCATGTATTTGATAAAAAGCGGTGCAAAATTTAGTGGGCAATTTTTACAGGTCAAAAACCTTGCATCAAAAAAAGGCTGCGATCATTATAATTCTTATTGTATTGAAGCAATCGGAGTGAGCTCATGAGTATGATCTCAATTCTTAGTGGATTATATGCACACGAATTTTCAGATCTCCAGTACCTGTGGTAAGTGAGATCTGTGTGGGTGGAGACATTTGTCGGCTACTGTATATCGGATGTCCCCAGAGTTTTGCGACATTTTTTATTTTGCATCTATCTCGACTTAAGAAAATTATAAAATCTTGATTTTTTTCTTAAAAGATGCGCCGTGAAAAGCTCTAGAAAAGCTGTACAAAGAAATCTCTATTAACTGGTTCTGATAGTTTTCCGATGCTTAATACGAACAACCTACATGGTGGCGCTATGTCCCACCGTATTGAGCATTGTAAAAATGTTTGAAAGACCTGTTCGTTTTGCAATAGGGATTTGTTCATACAGATTGTACAGAGCTTTTAACAGCGCATCTTTGAAAAAAGAAATCAAGACGTTATCATTTTCTCAGGTCAAGATATATGCAAAACAAAGATGTCTTGCAAACATTTTTATTATGCTGAAATAGCTCTATTATTTAGGTAGTTCATTTTGATTGTGAAAAAACTAACAGAGCAAGTCAATAGGGCTTTTTTTACACGAACTTTGTAGAGCTTTTTATGATGCATCCTTTTAAAAAATAATCCAAATTGTATCATTTTTTCAAGTCGAGATATAGACGAAATAAAAAAAGGGTGACAATATTTCTGATCACCAAAAAAAGATACTTTTGATCACCACAACTCTTTGGATACTTTTGATCACCAAAAAACGATACTTTTGATCACCATTTTTTAGTTTCTTCATTTCAAAATATCTATTTCTGAAACAATGCAACATTCACAATAAGAAAAGTCTGTATATTATTAACAACGTATTAAAAAATCACAAAGACCTATTTACAACTTGGGTGTGGGTATGGGTTTAGATATGAGTATTAAAAGGGCGATTCACAACCCCACACCCACCCACACATTCACACCCACACCCTACACCCTGAATACGAAGGAGACGTTACTTTTTGTTGATATAGGAATTTTCCCTATCGCTATGTTGGAATTTTCCAAGTATTCATCTTATTCTCGATATTGAATTTCTCCTTCTACTTCTTTATTTTCTACTTGGATTTATACAATATGTTTATTATATATAGATCGATATCAGTGGCGTACGCAGAAATTTTTCAAGGGGGGGGGG